GGGGGGGTTGGATGGTCTGACTTCACATCTCATCGAGAAGGGGCTTTCAAGTACGAGTCTGAAGATCCATATCCCGACTGTTGTTTCTAAAACGGGGAGGTTGATCCCAACAGTTTCTCAAACTGGAAAAGTGTTTGTTTTTTTTAACTATGCATTTAGGAATCGCCAAAAAAGGATTCCTACCGAAAACATGAAAAAAAAAATGTCAAAAATCCAAATGCGGCTGCAACCAACCCTCATTCACCCTCAAGTTCTGAACTTCCATAACTCTCTCCACAATTCCACCCCCATTTCGTCACTCTCTTTTCATCCCTCCCCTCCAAACTGCGCCATCTGACCTGTTCGGCTTTTTTCACACCATACTACAAAAAGCCAGGCCAGCATCTGAAACTGGATGACAGACTAGGAAGTCTACAACAGAACCAAAAAAACAGGTAAAAAAGGACAAGGAAGAAAAAAAAAAAAAGGGACAAGGAAAAAGAAGGGCAAGAAAGAAGAAGAAGAAGAAGAAGAAGAAAGAAGAAGAAGAAAGGTGGTGCCTAGCCTTCCTTCCATGAACAGCCAGGTGACCTACCTACCTATTTTTACCAAAAAAGGAAAGAAGGGGTAAGTAACCTAGCTTCCTAAGTCCTTTACCCCAAAAGGCATATATATATACCATGATGGAAGGACCATGATGTCAACACAATGGGCGCTGGAAAAACTGAATTATCTTGGCGAATGAAAAAAACTCTTCGAGCACCACGCAGAGGGGAAGAAGTACCGCTGTACCAGCTGAAAGGCTCCCTCCCCATATCTTCTCCCTTTTCTGTGTATAAGAAGGGTGCACATCCACAGGCAAGAAAAAAACAGTGCTCAGACAGCACGCGAACATCTGATCCAAGAAGACTACGCCCCTTATACTCTCTTCCATGCACAACCGATGCACATTAATTATGTCATGACACCAACAACGGCATCAGCCACTATATGAAACTGCATCCTCTCTCTCTCTCTCTCTCTCTCTCTCTCTCTCTCTCTCTCTCTCTCTCTCTCTCTCTCTCTCTCTCTCTCTCTCTCTCTCCGTACACACATATTTGTTCTCTCCGTCCTCAACTTTGCACATGTTTCCCGTCCAATCCAGAGATCTCTCAATCTGGTCTCCACTATTACCTCCCTCCCCAATTCTCTGCTTGCCTCATCCTCTCCTCCTCCAAATCCCCATCACTGTCATCATCACAGGTAACTATGTTGTCAGTAAAACGTTTTACAATCATCGCAAGTGTGTTGATTTGGATAGAGTAAAAACCACTCCAATATGCCAGCCAGGCTACGATGCTTCTCCCGAATAGGACGCATCCGCATCATTATTGTCCCCGCCGACAAAAAAGCCTTCAGCACAGCCCCGGGGGAATGATGTCCACGTTCTCTGTTCGAGGGGGGATGAATCAGAACATAGCGCGCCAGCAGTCTACTCGGGATGACTGTCTAGACAGGACTTGCACCCATCGTGGACTGTTCCATTCGATGTCCCCTGATCATTCCAGGTACCAACCAACCAACCAACCAACCATATCTTCAACGCGTCCGGCTCTCTTCCAAATACAACGCACGGTCGTCCGAGATGTTGAATCAATCGAACAACTCCCTCCCCCGAATAAAACGCACGGTCGTCCGAGATGTCGAATCAATCGAACAACTCCCTCCCCCGAAAAAAACGCACGGTCGACAGTCACCATGCGTTCTATTCGGGGGTCGACTGTAGGTAGGTTGTTCCATTTGGCATCTTGCGCACGGGCTTGCTCGATGCAATGTCCCCGAGCAGTCCAGGTACCAACCATTACTTCTTTTTAACTGTCCGCTCCTCGTCTAAGTTCTAACCCTCTTCCGAACCTAGCCTGTCCGCTGCTCCACATTCAATATCCCTGCGCATTCCCAGTACCCTATCTTCCACCCCGTCTGCTTCCGTCGCTCTTCCGAACCTGAGTTACTCCATCCGATGTTCCCCCCGGACATCAGTCAGTTGTTCCATTCAACCCCCTCCCCC